TTCTGGATGCGATAGCTGATGGATTCCTTCACCAAGTAGTTGAAGAACCAACAAGAGGGGATGCCATTTTAGATTTGGTTTTGGTGAGTAGTGAGGACCTCATAGAAGAAATGGTTGTAGGGGACAACCTTGGTTTGAGTGATCATGAGCTAATTCAGTTCAAACTATATGGAAGGATAAACAAAAATAGATCTGGGACTAGGGTTTTTGATTTCAAAAGGGCTAACTTTAAAGAATTAAGGAAATTAGTTAGGGAAGTGGATTGGACTGAAGAACTTGTGGATCTAAAGGCGGAGGAGGCCTGGAATTACTTCAAGTCAAAGTTGCAGAAACTATCAGAAGCCTGCATCCCAAGAAAGGGGGAAAAAATTCACAGGCAGGAGTTGTAGACCAAGCTGGATGAGAAAGCATCTCAGAGAGGTGATTAAGAAAAAGCAGAAAGCCTACAAGGAGTGGAACATGGGAGGGATTAGCAAGGAAAGCTACCTTATTGAGGTCAGAACATCTAGGGATAAAGTGAGAAAGGCCAAAAGCCATGTAGAGTTGGACCCTGCAAAGGGAATTAAAACCAATAGTCAAAGGTTCTATAGCCATATAAATAAGAAGAAAACAAAGAAAGAAGAAGTGGGACCGCTAAACACTGAGGATGGAGTGGAGGTTAAGGATAATCTAGGCATGGCCCAATATTTAAACAAATACTTTGCCTCAGTCTTTAATGAGGAGCTTAGGGATAATGGTAAGATGACAAATGGGAATGAGGATATGGAGGTAGATATTACCACATCCGAGGTAGAAGCCAAACTCGAACAGCTTAATGGGACTAAATCGGGGGGCCCAGATAATCTTCATCCAAGAATATTAAAGGAACTGGCACATGAAATTGCAAGCCCATTAGCAAGAATTTTTAATGAATCAGTAAACTCAGGGGTTGTACCGTACGACTGGAGAATTGCTAACATAGTTCCTATTTTTAAGAAAGGAAAAAAAAGTGATCCGAGTAACTATAGGCCTGTTAGTTTGACATCTGTAGTATGCAAGGTCTTGGAAAAAATTTTGAAGGAGAAAGTAGTTAAGGACATTGAGGTCAATGGTAATTGGGACAAAATACAACATGGTTTTACAAAAGGTAGATCATGCCAAACCAACCTGATCTCCTTCTTTGAGAAGGTAACAGATTTTTTAGACAAAGGAAACACAGTGGATCTAATTTACTTCCATTTCAGTAAGGTATTTGATACAGTTCCACATGGGGAATTATTAGTTAAATTGGAAAAGATGGAGATCAATATGAAAACTTGAAAGGTGGATAAGGAACTGGTTAAAGGGGAGACTACAACGGGTCGTACTGAAAGGTGAACTGTCAGGCTGGAAGGAGGTTACTAGTGGAGTTCCTCAGGGATCGGTTTTGGGACCAATCTTATTTAATCTTTTTATTACTGACCTTGGCACAAAAAGTGGGAATGTGCTAATAAAGTCTGCGGATGACACAAAGCTGGGAGGTATTGCTAACACAGAGAAGGACCGGGATATCATACAGGAAGATCTGGATGACCTTGTAAACTGGAGTAATAGTAATAGGATGAAATTTAATAGTGAAAAGTGCAAGGTCATGCATTTAGGGATTAATAACAAGAATTTTGGTTATAAATTGGGGACATCAGTTGGAAGTAACAGAGGAGGAGAAGGACCTCGGAGTACTGGTTGATCACAGGATGACTATGAGCCGACAATGTGATATGGCCGTTAAAAAAGCTAATGTGGTCTTGGGATGCATCAGGTGAGGTATTTCCAGTAAAGATAAGGAGGTGTTAGTACCGTTATACAAGGCACTGGTGAGACCTCATCTGGAATATTGTGTGCAGTTCTGGCCTCCCATGTTTAAGAAGGAGGAATTCAAACTGGAACAGGTACAGAGAAGGGCTACTAGGATGATCTGAGGAATGGAAAACCTGTCTTATGAAAGGAGACTCAAAGAGCTTGGCTTGTTTAGCCTAACCAAAAGAAGGCTGAGGGGAGATATGATTGCTCTTTATAAATATATCAGAGGGATAAATATCAGGGAGGGAGAGGAATTATTTAAGCTTAGTATCAATGTGGACACAAGAACAAATGGATATAAACTGGACACTAGGAAGTTTAGACTTGAAATTAGACGAAGGTTTCTAACCATTAGAGGAGTGAAGTTCTGGAACAGCCATCCCAGAGGAGTAGTGGGGGCAAAAGACATATCTGGCTTCAAGACTAAGCTTGATAAGTTTATGGAGGGGATAGTATGATGGGATAGCCTAATTTTGCCAATTAATGGTATGGTATAATGGGATAGCCTAATTTTGGCAAATAATTGATCTTTGATTATTAGCAGGTAATTATGCCCAATGGTCTGTGATGGGATGTTAGATGGGGTGGGATCTGAGTTACTACAGAGAATTCTTTCCTGGGTGCTGGCTGGTGAGTCTTGCCCACATGCTCAGGGTTTAACTGATTGCCATATTTGGGGTCGGGAAGGAATTTTCCTCCAGGGCAGATTGGCAGAGGCCCTGGAGGTTTTTCGCCTTCCTCTGCAGCGTGGGGCATGGGTCACTTGCTGGAGGATTCTCTGCACCTTGAGGTCTTTAAACCACGATTTGAGGACTTCAATAACTCAGACATAGGTTAGGGGTTTGTTACAGGAGTGGGTGGGTGAGATTCTGTGGCCTGCATTGTGCAGGAGGTCAGACTAGATCAGGGGTCTCAAACTCAAATGACCATGAGGGCCACATGAGGACTAGTACATTGGCCCGAGGGCCGCATTACTGACACCTCCCCCCCGCCGCCCTCGGCCCCGCCCCTGCCCACCCCTTCCCTGCCTCCATTCCAACCCCTTCCCCGAAATCCCCACCCCAACTCTGCCCCCTCCCTGCCCCCAGGGGGTGCAGGAGGGGTGTGGTGGGGGCTCAGGGCAGGGAGTTGGGGTGTGGGGTACAGGAGAGGTGAGGGGTACAGCAGGGGGTCAGGGTGCAGGGTGTGGCAGGGGGCTCAGGGCAGTGGGTTGGGGTGCAAGAGGAGTGTGGGGTGCAGCAGGGGGCTCAGGGCAGTGGGTTGGGGTGCAAGAGGAGTGTGGGGTGCGGCAGGGGGTCAGGGTGCAGAGTGCGGCGGAGGCTCAGGGCAGGGGTCAGGGTGCAGGAGGGGTGCAGGGTATGGCAGGGGGTCGGGGCACAGGAGGGGTGCGGCATGGGGCTCAGGGCAGTGGGTTGGGATGCAGGAGGGGTGCGGGGTGAGGCGGGGGTCAGGGTGCAGGAGGGGTGCAGGGTATGGCAGGGGGTCGGGGTGCAGGGTGTGGCAGGGGGCTCAGGGCAGGGGGTTCAGCTGCAGGAGGGGTTCGGGGGGCAGGATCTGGTCCGGCGCGTACCGGGGGCAAGGCAGGCTCCCTGCCTGCCTGTCTGCCCTGCCCCCGCAAGAGGCTGGAACGTGGGGAAGGGGGGGCGGAGGGGCTGTGTGTTTCTGTTGCTTGAGGCACTGCTGCTAGCAGCTCCCATTGGCCGCGGTTTCCCGTTCCCGGCCAATGGGAGCTGCTGGGGGCGCTGCCTAAAGCAACAGCCACACACAGCCCCTCCGCCCTCCCTTCCCCATGTTCCAGCCTCTTCCCAGAGCTGCGCAGGGTAGGGCAGGCAGGCAGGCAGGGAGCATGCCCTGCTCCCGGTGCACGTCCGGCCGGAGCCGCTCTCGTAAACACTGGGTGAGGGCATGGGGGCTGCGAGGGGCTCGCGGGCCGCAGAAAATCACCCCGCGGGCCGCATGCGGCCCATGGGCCACGTGTTTGAGACCCCTGGACTAGATGATCATAATGGTCCCTTCTGACCTTAAAGTCTATGAGTCTATGAGATCCGGCTGCCGCGGTAGCCGCCGAAGGACCCGAAATGCCGCCCCCCAATTGTTAGTGCCCTAGGCAACCGCCTAGGTCGCCTAATGGGTTGCACCGGCCCTGCTTGTAAGTCTACTGTTGAAACCGCCTGGGTCATTAAACAATGCCATCTAGGCATCTGCTATAACAGTAGAAGATCTCTGTCCAGCAATGGAAACTACCCTTGGATCCATCAGAGAAATATCAATTGAAAACATACCAGAAGAAGCAATGACTTCAGTTCAGAAGTTGACTAATTAGGGCACTTATATTGACTCCTTAAATTAAGAGGACAAGAAGTGTTTGTTAAGCCATCTGAAAAAGTAAAGTACACAGACTTGATTCTTACATCTCTACAACAGCAACTTCTGGATTCTATCAACCTCTACGTAGCTTTTACAGATGCCTGTCTTATAAAACACGGTCAGTTGAGTGGAGTGAGGCACTACCTGCAATGAGGCTGCCATGTGATCAGGACAGAATAGAGAATTTGAACACAGAGTGGAATATCATATGATGAACAAATGAAGATTTTACTTCAACTTCTTCTTTATCATCACTAGTGGTTCGACCCAAACTTTGTGCTGTTTCCTGGGATGACAGAAGTAGGAATTAATCTCTTTCTACTTCCAGTCACAATAGCTACAGTTGAGCATTCTTTTTCCTCATTGAATAGAATTCTGAATAGAAGTCACCTTCTGCACAATCATGAGCATATCATGAAGGACTGGAGGTACCAGACACACGAGATGCCACCAAAAATGAATGTACTGCATTCCAGAAGTTAATTAACAGAGTTGTGCAAAATTACAACAGGAAACCAAGAAGGATGTAGATATACTGCTTCATAGTAGGCTTGTGTAGCCAACTTTACTTTGTGTGATGATTTAAAAACGTAAGTTAAAGCTAATAAAACGGTCATGAAACATTTTTCAGTTTTTACTATGGTGCCATACAGCCCACCTTTGCCCTAAGGGTCTTACCCCTCATCAGTCCTCACTATACCCTGCCCCGAATTTTAATTCCTGAAGAAAACACAGTGACCCCAGGGCACAGCAAGGCCAGCCGCGGTCCGGCTGTAGCTCCACCCTCCGGGACGCTGAGACGCCCATCAGGCCCGGCCCCTGCTGCTGGGGCTGGGCCCCCACCCCGGGACTCTCCCGCCCGGGAACTGTGCGTGCCCCTCTCCGGGGGCCGGCCCTGGCCAGGCCCCACCCCGCTGGGTGGCCAGCGGCTCCTGCCCAGGCGCAGCTCCCGACCCATACGCTGCGCGATCCCATGGCAGCCGGGCGGCTGGCGGGGCTACAGGCGCGGCCGCTGGACGCGGCGGAACCGCTGGTGCTAGGCTCGCTCCTGGGCCGCGTACTGCTGGTGAGCAACGTGGCGTCGCTCTGAGGCACCACGGCCCGGGACTTCGCCCAGCTCAGCGAGCTGCAGAGGCGCTATGGGCCCGGGCTGGCCGTGCTGGCCTTCCCCTGCAACCAGTTCGGCCACCAGGTACCAACGGGGACAGGGCGGGCGGCTCTCTGCGCGGGGGCGATGGGGCGGGAGGCGGCTGCTCGCACAGCCCAGCTCGGGAGGCCCTGCAGCCGCTTCCTGTGCTGTAGCGATCCCGGCCGGCTGCTGCCGCCTCGGCCTGCGAGCCCGGGCCCGGCTACAGCCACTGACCCCTCCCCCAGCGGTCGCGGGGCAGCTGCGCAGCTAGCATGGGGTGCGGGCTCTGGGGTGTCTTTTAGGAGGAGAGGTTTAAATGCCTGAGACCTCCCTCCACAGACCCCGCTGCCCCCCCACGCCGGCGTGATGTCCTGCAGGCAGGGGTGGGTCTATGTATTTTGCTGCTCCAAGTACGGCAGTGAGGCAGCCTTCAGCAGCATGCCTGCAGGCAGTTCGCTGGTAACGCGGTTCGGCTGCATGCCTGCAGGAGGTCCGCCGGTCCCGCGCCTTCGGCGTACCTGCCGCCAGCCGCGGGACCGGCGGACCTCCCACAGGCATGCCGCTGAAGGCAGCCTGCCTGCCACCCTCACAGCAATCGGCAGGCCGCTCCCCCCAGTGGCAGAGCTGGTCCCTGCATCTGGTCTCCAGTACATGCCGTTGTCCTGTCTATTGGCCAGATTACATCCTAGCTGGCCTAGTGACTGCTATGCCACGCAGTGTCAGTGGTGTACAGCTCGAGACCTGCCAGGGCTGTGCCTACATAGGCAGTGTGATTGGAGCAGGCATAGGCATGCCCGTGCTCGCCTTAATCTAGCTAATGGGTAACAATAGTAGTGTAAACGTCATGATGTGGGCTAGCAACAAGCCTGCTGGGGAGCCTGTTCTCTGCCCATGTGTCTGTGCTGCTAGTGTTTCCCGTGTTTGCCCTGCAATCCCATTTTCACGCACTGTCACAGCAAGCCGTGGCTGAAGCTAAGTGGATTGGCTAGGGTGCTAGCTGGCATGGCGTTATCGCAGAATGTTCTTCTTGCTTCCCAGCAGTGCTGGTATCTGAGCAAAACAGCCTGGGGCAGAGGGTGGGGTAATAGAGGGTCTGAAAGGGAAGTGTTTTGGCAAAACAAACAGACCTGCAGCCTTTCTTTGTTCAGTGTTACTACTGTTACTACACTACTTGCTAGTGTAACTAAGGTTCAGGGCTACAGCAGACTCTCCTTAATTGGCACTAGTTACCAGGCACTGTTGCAAAATAAACAACGTTGTGAATTAGCAAATAAGATATCAAGGGCATTGCTGCATAGAATGTATCTAGGCAAAAAGTGTGCTTGTGAAAACAAACGTTCCAGGTGGAAGAGGCTGACTTGCATTTCTGTTCACCCATGTTGCCGAGGGTGCTAGGCAAAGTTCCCTTTCATTTTTTCCATCCAGGTGTGGAATAAATTTTGTTATGTGCACCGAGGTATGTGCAGCAGAAGAAACAAAAAAAAAAAACTAGATATATATTATATTTTTAAGAAGTTACCATAGGGATAATTACTCCAACCAGGACAGGTTAGGCATTTTAGAACTCAGTACTCAAAGAATTAAATTTAAGTGTAAAAGAAATAAAAATTATGAAATGCATAGACTAGTCAAAACACTAAAATAACACTTTGAAAGAATAAAATTACAGAGAATATATGTGCATTGCAGGAAGTACCAAGAAGTAACAACAACAATAATACAAGTATGTGTTAGGAGGTGAATGTGAAAGAGACAGAGACTCTGTGTCTCTTGTTTGCTTCCCGTAATGTAGATGGAAGCTCTGTCTTGAATACATTCCAATTGTTCGTGTTTATCCTTGCACTAGATCACACTTCCTTTTTCTCTTAATAGGAGAACGCTACCAATGAGGAGATCCTACTTTCCTTAAAGCATGTCCGCCCTGGCAATGGTTATGAGCCCAACTTCACCATGTTTGAGAAGTGTGATGTGAATGGGGCAAACGCTCACCCACTCTTCGCTTTCCTGAAAGAGGCACTGCCTTTCCCACATGATGATCCAATGTCGCTGATGACCAACCCACAGTACATCATCTGGTCTCCAGTGTGCAGGAATGACATCTCCTGGAACTTCGAAAAATTCCTCATTGGGCGTGATGGCGTGCCCTTCAAGCGCTACAGCAGGCACTTTGAAACGATCAAGATCCAAGATGATATTGAAAAGCTCCTTCAGCATGTCCCATAGAATGTTCTCAACCAAGCCAAAGTCCTGCTGAAACTTTTCTCTCTCCTCAGCTCTGCTGTTATCTCTGCTTCCTGTTGAGTCATTCTGCTAGCCTTCTTGTCCCTAGCCTGGACTGCCTGCTCTTTCTGTGACCTCTTTGCTCTGCAAGTAAAATGCTATTGTCCATGGAAATTTTACTCATGAAGGTGCTTCTTCCAAATTCTTCAGGAGGAGCACTTGATGTATTCTGTAAAAGTTGCATGTGAATTTTTAGCAAACTACCACAGGGGAAGCAGCCCTGAGTCTGGGTAGCTTATTGTGAGCCTTTGTGTTACTAATACAATTCCTGAAGACCAGATATCTGTCTTTTTCTGTGTAAGGTTACTGCCTGGTTAGCCATGGGGTGTTGGGTATTTGTGTCTCATGGCTTCTTTAGTTTTGAAGGGCCATGCAGAAGGGGCTGCCACATTGCACCGTCATTTTAAAGATTTGAATGGTCCCTTCTGGCCTTTGATCATCTTGTCTGACCTGCTTTATATCACTGGCCATTATATTCCACCCAATTACCCCTGTACAGAGCCCAATAACTTGGGTTAGACTAAAGCATTTCAGTCCCCAGAAAACTAAACTGTTGTGTGCCACAGACAGAGAACAGGAGAGGCTGAGGTGCCACCAATGCCTAAGGGCCCTGCAATGGCAGAGAAATGATATAGGGAGTCATGCCCAGCCTAGCAATACACACCCCATGCATCAGAGGAAGGCAGCCGCTCCAAGTCTCAGCCAATTGGACCTGGTAGAAAATTCCTTCCTGACCCCAATCAGATGATCAGTTTGCCCTTGAGCTTGTGAGCATCCTTTGTAAAGTGATCTGCTAGCTCACTAGTGTACTGGACCCTGGTTCAGAAGCTCTGCAAGTATAGTGCCTGATATCAGGTTGTTTGTGTTACAGTTCAGGGCAACTGCACCTGTATTTCCCTCTGTGGCCCAGCAAGGGCACCCACTCCAGGGTACTCAGGAAGGTTCCTCCTTGGGCAGTCTCTCTCTGCCTCCTGACCCAGGTGTTTCCAGACTGCACAGCTCCCTGCCTGGACTGTGACCTCCCCAGCAACAGCTGGCTGCCTAAATCAGCCTGCTGTACTTTTCTCCTCAGAGACAGTAATCAGTGTAAGTACCACAGTTAGACTACCCCACAGCTCTTTCTACGCAAGGACATGTATTCCTAAGGTAACAGCATTACAGAGAAAACATACTATTAAAAAAAAAAAAAAAAAACCCTAAATGCCTACTAATCAACTTATCTCTGGCTGGTGAACAGTCCTTCAAACCCCACCTAGAAATTTTCCTGTGGTTCCTCGTGCTCGGTACAAGAACCCTCATGGGTAAGTCAGTTACTCCTTTATACAGCTGGTCTTTGAACTGTTCTCCTGTAACAGGTGAGCAGCAGACAAGAGGTCCCGTCCCCTCCCATACCCCAAGTATGAAGCTTCAAAGGCTGAGCCCCTCGTGGGAGTTTGCAATCTGCCTCAGGATTCCACTTCACATGTATTTTCCACAAAGATCAGTTGTGTCTGCTACGTTGTTCAGCATCGGCTTCTGAAGCTCACAGTACTTGCCAGAGATTGCATTAATTCTGTCTTCCTCCCAAAGAATTTCCAGTTAATCCCACAATTACACAAACACTTTCATTTTTAATACAATGAACTCCTAAAATATTGAAAATTTCAATTCAATATGGTTTGTGCAGGATGTTGCAAGAAATTGTAACATCCTGCCTCTTGTCTATGCCCTAGACAGGAGGCAGAGAACAATAAACAAAATTGAGTGGGGGACACTCTGCTTCTTAAACAGGGTCATATACAGCATCAAGTAGATCAACATTATTATGTTTCATGCACAAGGGACTTGTTAGACTACAACTTGTGGGAGAAATGGCATGGAGGAAATAACAGATAAGTACCATATCTTGTCTCTCTAACTTGGGGCTTGTGCATGTGGGAATGTTATGCTAGTAGAAGATAAGGTGTGAATTTAAACTGATATATGGGTGTAACTCCAGTGTGGGCAGTCATGCTGGTATAAGAATGGCTTTTTTTGGGTTAGTGTATGTCACTTGGGAAGGGTTTTACTCTCTTATACCAGAATAAGTGTCTGTGGAGGGTATGTGAGAGTTAATCTGTTTAACTCTATTGGTAACATTTTGTGGGTAGACAAGCACTGATATGTCAGGCCACATATGAGCTGCACTCTACTCCCCTGCAATGGGTTGGGAAGAGGGGACAGTAACTTACTGAACAAGTTACTCCAGCAGCACTGTGTTTGGACAGTTAAAGGGAGTAGCTAAGTTATGTTCATGGCTTTTGGGGGGGGAGGGAGGTTGGCTGTCACAAAAGATTTTTCCCAAAGGAAACAAACTAATGCAGGATTGGGTAATCAAGGCACAACTGACTAGGCCCATTTCTCATGGGAAATAGCATCCTGTTCCCTATGGGGAGGAACACCTAATCCTTGCACAAAGCTGCCCACAATGAGCCTGTTGCAAAGCCCTTGGGGGGGTGTGGGCGGGTAGCCTCTCCATTGCAGTCTAGCTGAGGTGTGCCAAACACAAACATTGGCTTGGGGAAGGGAGGAGGTGGTGTACTTAAAAAAATAACACTACTTCAACTGCTACATTTCTAAATGGTTCTGCTTTCCTCAGGGAGCTTCTCTGCCTCTCCTGTACTAATAAAAACGGTTTCCTTTCTCCTGCATGTGGCCCAGCTCTTCTATGGTGCTGTGTAATAAGGTGGCAGCAGATGTGAGCGCCAATGTTCCGCTTGCATGTAGGTCTGAGTAACAGTACTTGGAGCTGAGTGTTGCAGAGTGTTTACCACATTATTACTCAAGCTTCACTCCACCCGAGTGAAAAACAGGATGTCTTTTTCATTTCTGTATGTGCAAGGGCTTCCGTGCTAGTGTATGGTTAAACAGTTGCCTAACTTTGGTAGGGTCTTCCTCTTTCACTTAAGTCTCCGCCTCTTACTATAACTGATAGGAGCTGTTGGAAGGAGACGTTAACTGTATTTTTGGGCTGCAGGCAGCATAGAACATTTTCAAGTATAGCTTGAATAATGGGCGGGGGTGTGGGGCGGGGGCGGGGGAGTGTGTGTGTGTGTGTGTGTGTGTGTGTGTGTGTAAAACAATCATGTCCTGGCTTCTGCAGAATTCAGCAGCAAGAAGCTGCTGTAGTTTAGTGCTAATAACAATGAAGCTGAAGGCAACATAACAAGGATGTCAGTACAGATTTCCTGGTCTATTTTAAAGCCTTTCAATCAAGGGCATTTTTAAAGAGCAGGATGGTGGGAATCTGGACTGCCTGATACTAAACTCTGGATCAAAAAATACCAACTACCAGCACCTGGGTGCAGTACAAGTTTCAGTTGTGCTCTTTTAGGAACATAATTGCTACAGTGGATCAGACCAGTGTCCATCTACTGCAGGATCCTCTTACATCAACCAGATACTTCAGAGAAAAATCCAAGAATCCCTGTAGTGGATGTTTATAGAATAACAGGTTCATAAGGGAAATGTCTGAAACCTAAGCTGCCATCAACTTCACAGGAAAAAGCATTTTCATTTGCAAAATTAAACTGGGAGTGTATCTAATGTGATGGCACAAACCTGTCTCCAGATAGATTGTTCCAATAGCTTTCCGTAATCAGCACAATGGATGAGCAAAATCCTACTAACTTTCACAGCTGCCAAAAAAGGTTATTGGGTTAAATATTGGGGAACCCATAGTGATTAATATAGCATCTGGATCTGTGACTTTTCTGTGCCATATAATGGAAGAGAGATGTTACTTCAGGGGTCTGTCTTGGTAGCAGAGCTGAGGGCAAGAGCTAGGAGGCCCTTTTTAACAGTTGCTCAAGTGTTTCCCTTAACTCAGGTCCTGGCCTTACAAAATCAAGTGTGTTGGTGCTTTTACCTCAAGAGCCCGGCCTGTCAGGGGACACAGGCTAAAGCTTGAATCAGCACAGGTCATCAGCTGCTAACACAACCTGTAGTGTGGATGCAGGCTAGCCCCACTCAAGTCCCTTTAACCCTCCCAATGCATTCCCACAATTCCCCATGTGCCCAGAGTGGGCAGGCACATTCTCCCGCCATTCACTGGGAAAGAATTGTGGGATGATGTCTGGCTAGAGACAATGGTGTAGGTGCCAAAGCAGTTCAGGTATTAGATCTTGTGCTAGAGCAAATCCCCAGATGCCTTAGTACATGCATGTGTGGGTGCAGACCCAGTGTGGGCACACACAGGAGTTCAAGTGTTATCTCACAGTGTGGCCATGCTCATTGAGCTCAGCCTATTCAAGAGGAGGAATGAGTGTAGATAACTGGGTTAATGCCCTGCAGCCAGACCCTGAGAGTCACACTTAGAAAACAGGAACCTCTGAGCTGGTTAGGAGAGAAAAAGTTGGTTCAATTCTGTTCATGCAACTTAAGAGGAAACCCTAAATTAGATTAGATAAGACTAGGGGGAGCATACTGTCTTGCTTCTCATAGCACACCCCAGGGGCTCCTTGTACCCTTCCACCATCCTCCCCCTTCCCAGCTCCGTGTGGGCCACCCTCCCATCCACCTCTGGTGTAGGGACTCCGTGCAACTCCCAGTCCTCCTTCATGACAAGGTTGCTGTGTGTTCTCCATTCCCTGCATTCTCCCCCCATGCTAGGGGCTCTGTGTCCTTCTTGTCCCCCTTCCTGATACCATTATCCCCCTGCTCAGGGCTAGCTCTGCATGCCTCAGTCCTGGGTCTCCCATATGCCCACCAAGCAGGGTCTTTTCTGTCTGTCTGTCCTTCCTTCCCCCATACCAGGGATCCCCGTTCTCCCTTCCACCACTTGGCAGGGACTCTGCTCCCTTCTGCTATTACCATTCTTATTTATTCTCTCATCTTTGTCATCCTCTAGTCCAGGGGTAGCAAATTCTGATAGATGGGGTACACCTATGTCCACCCGACACAGGACTGGAAGGCGTTAAGATGGCCAGGTGGGCCAAATAACTCCACAGGCTGCACCTGGAAGAGGAAAGCCAGGGAGCACTAATGCCTAATTGGTTGATGAAGCCCACCTGGGGAGGAGCTGGGCCAGCTTTATAAAGCCAGGAAGCTAGTAACTGAAGTGGCTGTAAAGAAGTATAGTCTCTTCCTATCAGGGGGTAGCTGTGTTAGTCTGAATCTGTAAAAAGCAACAGAGGGTCTGTCAAGGCTGCTTCCCCACTCTGAACTTTAGGGTACAGATGTGGGCGCCTGCATGAAAACTTCTAAGCTTAACTAC